ACTTCCTGCGGGGTTCCATCAGTCGGTTTCCGGCACGTACACAGCAGTGGAGTTTCCAATAATTCCGATATTTTTCCTCGATATAAAACTACTTTATTGACTATAGAAAGAATGGACACCTCTCCCGTCAGAATAAACGCTTAAACTAATTGCTATCTATTGACCGTCTCGGCAAATTAGCGAACTCGGGTCGGTGACAAAGCCATCATACTATTTTGACGGGAGAAGTGTCCTTTCTTTTTATAGACCAGCGTCTTCCTGGCAAAAGTCCCACATTACATAGAGGTGGTCGTGCTTTATTATTCCAGGTAACTATCATTCCTGGTGTATAGTTTTCTCAACCAGGTTCCTCCAAGATCCATAGTCTGGTGGTGACTTCACTTGGTCCACTGATGTCTGTTACTGTCTTCACTTTGTCCTTTTATCTATCTTGTCAGTAAGTTATCATGTATTTGTGATAATTCAGTTATATGCATATACCCTATGTATTCAAATTCTAAAATATTTTTTTCACAATGAGTTAATTTAAAACGTGCAAGCTTTCAAGCGATAATCACTCTTCTGCAGGCAGCAAGTAAGAATGGTTCTCCCCTGAGAAAGAGCATTTTAAATAAACGAAAAAATCCTCACATTGTGGAGAAATATAATTTATAATACCTTTCTCAAGTTTACCTTAAATATGCATACCTATGTATGCAAATCCTATATGCCATGTGGGCAATGCATACACCGCTAATAATAATTTCAGCTGGAGGCTAAAAATAAGCCTCAAATGAAGCAACAATAGAAGTATTATTAGCCCGTAGAAAGTCGAGGCTCAAACGGCCCATCAATTCTCTTCAATATGTGGCACAGAACGTCGAAAGAACGCCGGTTTTCCCAATAAAATCCCCAGAAAATTAAATTTGAATAATTTTAGCGCTATTTAAAACCAAGCCAATGCTTTAAATAGAATTAAAACCTTACAGGTTATGAGTTGTTTCCAAAGAACATCGATGCACATATTTGCATATATTATTTATATTATCTTATTTACCTTAAAATCTCTTTATAGTCCCGACTATATAAATAAGCGGAACAGTCAAATACAAATAGTAGAGGCGGTCTGGAAGATTAAACTGGCGCTGGTAGGGTTTACCAATGATGAGCCAGGCCTTTTCAATATATTTCAATCACAGTAAGGACAGTTTTAAATTATTTTAAAAATTAAAATAAATAAAAATAATTCCACTTCTAGATAACGGATGGCGCTCTGATGTCATATATATATATATGCTTTGTAGATTTGCATATTGAGTTTACATATAGGGAGAATGGACGATCTAATCTCGCAGGTGTTTGTTGACATTTTCGCCGAGCTACTCACCTGACCGACTATCTTTAGCTTCCCGGAGCCGCCACCTTTATTTTAGCTCCTGTGTACGTTATGCAACATCTTTCGACAGCGTGAAACCGTTGGACCACGTCACGGTGTAGAGGACCTATCAACCAAATTGCATATTTACGTGATAAATGAATAGGCGAGATTTGAAAATAACTTTTTTTTTTTTTGGTATTTAAAAGGTCTTTCACGCGGTCGCGCTTCATCAGCCTAATGAATCCGCAAATATATTAGAGAAAAGCTATTTGTAGAACGACATTTGAAAATTATTCCGCATGTGTTTCTTTGAATGAAAAATCGAAATTTATTTTAAGGAGAAATAACGATTATTTCTAACCTTTAGGAATGAAGTATGAAAGGATGAAGAGTAATGATAAACGGAAAAATGGGAAACGAACCCACAGTGTTCCGCTTACCGGGCAGATGCCATGTCCACTAGGCTACCCTGGACACTTTATTTTTCCGTTCATCATTACTTTTCACAATTCATCCTTTCATACTTCTTCCCTAAAGGTTAGAAATAATCTTTATTTCTCCTTAAAATAAATTTCGATTTTTGGTAAAAGAAACACATGCGGGATAATTTTCAAATGTCGTTCTACAATCATAAGTCGCATTATATTGTATTATAAAAGCTATTTGTATAATAGCGGAGGTTTGGGAATTTTTTTTCTATGGAACTATCAGCGTTGCATATGTTGGAATAGCCGAGTTATATCAATCCTTCTGTCACGCCATCTTTCTATTCCCCATCTCCAGATTGTGTAAATATAGTGCAGGCCTTCATTGGCCTGGTGAAGCCCCACCGCGTGATAGACTTTTTTAATTACTTAACTCTATGCATATCTATCTTTTATTCATTCATTACGTATATTTTATTATTATCCTACAACTACAAATTAAAAATAGCGGATATGTAACGAGAGACGTCATCTTGGTAGCTTCCATTATACAGCGGAGGAATCCACCGTCGAGAGACAAACTTCAGAAATATAGATTCTACGCCTAAAAACAATAGGAATGGTCTATAATGATTTTGTCATTTTTAAATATATAATGTGATATTCGACAAGTCAGAAAATGGTGATGATATATATCTCCAGATGAGAAACTCTGCCACCACAATATAGGAAGGAATCATTTACATAGTTCCCAATTCGGAAATATGCAATTAATCCCAATAGCTTACTCCGGTATTCTATATGTGGGGTTAACAATATTAACGAAAATAATTTTACACGGGATGATATATGTATCGGGTAAAATACCATTTCTACAGTTCTCCTTCCAGTCATTTCAGATCTTTTCACCAATCTATTTCCTCATTTGTACCATCCGATTCTTCTATTTGTGTTGACCTTCAACTTTATATGATATGTAAATAGGGCCGTGGTCTAGGAGCCGTGTGTGACAGTTGCATATCTCCCGACTAGAGAGGAACTTGAGGAAATACACGCTGATAATTAATGTTGATTACTTAATTAACCCAGCAGACACTCGCCAAGTGCTCAGAACTTGTTTGCATATTTGTTTTAAAGTTGTCAGCGGAAGGCCAATTTCTCATGAGGTGTTGTGACATTTGTTGACAAGTGTCAGACTTCGGTAGTGAAGTCTGCGCATAATTACCGACCTTGATGTCAGCTGAGCTGTACGAGCGTAGAAATCGCCTTACCTTCATTTCTGTGTGAAAAAAAAAAAGAAAAAATAATAATAAAGGCCAGGTATTGATCATAATAATATAGAAGGCATATCCTGACCAGGAGCACATGTGCTTTTTAGATGGCAGAGCGCTATCTAGTGGAACAGAAATCAACTAAACATTGATTTAGCCGGTTCCCTGATATTTGGCCATTTCTGGCTTCATTTCTGTCTGTCGAGACTTGAAACCTTTTGAGCTACAACTCGTCATCGCTATTTGACCTTTTTCGAGAGGGTTGACACGATAACCTGCCATTGATGAACAAACATTGCGTAACTGCGGAAAGATTAAAGGTTTCAACCAGGTATAGCGACGGCATGCCTATTTCATATGTTGTATCTGTCAATTGACAATTTAAACATTTTTTAAAATTCTTCTAATCAAATTTTACAAAGGTGGAAAAATATAGTAAAAGGGCATATAAAGTGTAGGGGAATATCTCTCAAGAGAATCTGCATCTAAGAATAAAAATATTGATTGATTGACTCCTACATTCATCCCAGGTGAAATATCAACGTGCAAGGAGGCCTTGGCTTCATCAGATGCCATTTCCTTACCAAGATTATAAATTTAATCCATGAATTCAGTCTCCATCACCTTGTATAATTATACAGTAAATAATAATTTTAAAAAGTACCATTAAAAAAATCAAACTAGATTGGTTCAGTGATATTTCATTTACACAGGGGTTCAATCTCATATGCAAATATACTTCGAGTAGATAAAAGTATAGCTCAGGGTGGGGTAACATAATGAAAGAACATATCGTGTACTGAGCTATTGGACTAAATAGCAACAGAAGTTTTTTTTTTTTTCAATTTCTTGAATTTGACCGAAATTAATATTTTTCTTGAATTAACAAATAAAGCCAACAACGTATGTCTTTCGGATTGTTTAGCCTCGTCAGCATGATGCAGGCTGTACGATCCACCAAGGCTTTCTTTTTGAGAAACTCTGCTTCAGTTGAAAGATTCCTCATGCGTCTGATGTTACAGAGTCTATGATGGAGACTCAACTATATTGGGTCAATTTCCGAAAATAGCAAAGTTAAGTTGATACATATATCATAAAGTTGCTCGATGAGGGTATTCATATGACCCAAGTGGCACCTCTCCCTTTAAAAATGCATCAAAACAATATATTTTGTTTACCAGCTCAGTACACTTTTGGTACATCCTCCCACAACTTTATATTGTATTAGACTGAAAATCGGCCCTTTCACTTCAGCAGGATGTTATGTCCCTGTACTGATGAGGGCCATAGTCCGAAACCTCGGTATATAGCTTGTTGTCTGGATTTGTCAAAACTGGTGTTGTGGCTCTTTCTTTATCGCCATTTTATTTTTTTACTGGGATAATAAACAATGCATCTTTAAAGGGAGAGGTACCTTTTTTTGGGTACAATGAATACACACACACAAAAACCTTTATTAAGACACACTGGTCTTACAGAGGACTCTCCTTGGGGTTACAAGACGGAGAAACCTATGAAAGTGGGAAATATACAAAGGGGTAAAAATGGAGAAAGATTATATACACATGATAAATATATACAGATTATTATTTGAATGATCCTATGGAAAATAAGAATATGGATTTGGAAATATGGGTGGAAGGTACAATGAATACATATACATGGCAGATTACGCTCCTCAACGTTTAGTGGCATTATATTACACAATCACAATAACTGATTCATAAAACGCGGCAACTTTTTTCCATTGAGATGATTAAAGAAGTTTTTGGGCAAGTCTTTCTTTAGCTAACTAGAAACGTTTTTATTTACCTGACGAATAACTTGCCTGAAAGCTTCTTCAATTATCTCAATAAAAAATTACGGCGTTTTATGCTTGTGCTGTCCAACAATAATGAATGTTTTATAAAGTAAATAAAGCTTCCAGGGTTAAGTTTCTTGTTCAAATTTTTATTTTCAAGCTTTCGGACTTGTCAGTCCTTCTACAGGAGTATCACGATAATAAATTGATGATATATTTTTATATACAATATTTAATAAATATTTACAAATGTTGACCTTACATGACGGATTGACGTGCAGCAAGTGCCGTCGTGGGTGTGCTCCAACGTGGCCGTAGCGGAGACGGTGATGGTCCCCGAGAGCTCCGTGACGCTCCCCGCGGCGGAGGGCGGCGAGGTGACCATCCCTGGGCTGGGGCAGGGAGAGATCCGCTGCCGTCTCCTGTCTTACACCCGTCGGGAGGGACAGCCCGGCGCCAAGGTACGTACGTGCCCTAGCAGCATGTTTTTCTAGTGGGAATTTGCATAACTTGGGGATCACATCATGGACCACTGTGTGCAAGTAATGCGACAACAAGCCAACTCGTAGTATAGCAAGTTTCTAGGAGAGTCCTTGGGAATTTGCATAACTTGGGGATCACATCATAGGAGACCACTGTGTAGAAGTAATGCGACACCAGGCCAACTCCTAATATAGTAAGTTTCTCGGAGAGTCCTTGGGAATTTGCATAACTTGGGGATCACATCATAGGAGACCACTGTGTAGAAGTAATGCGACACCAGGCCAACTCCTAATATAGTAAGTTTCTCGGAGAGTCCTTGAGAATTTGCATAACTTGAACGATCAAATTAAACTGTGCACAAGTGATGCAACATTAGACTAACAAGTGGCGAAGAAGGCTGATACAAATTCTAGGCGAGTCTGTCGAAATTTGCATAACTTAAACATTGCATCAAATATATACACCCATATATCGCCATCCTGGAAATGGTGAAAATCGACGACGACAATAGCCTACCGGAAGATAGCTGGTGATTGACCTTGAGATGGAATATACCGCTGTCATACATCACTGTGCCATCGCTTATGTAACAATGACGGTTTGAGGAAATAGGGAAAATCTTCCAGGTGATAACTGCCCTTTGTTTACCACACCTGGCGGGCTGGTTCCGAAGTTCTTCGACTTGACCCATCTGCGTCATCTCCCTGGCCACATGTCCCGTCATCTCCCAGGCCATTTATATATACACTTTAGTTCAGTGCTGATTCCATTGTTCAAATTACATAGTTGGTCCCACACTTATCTACATATGGTCTCTCCTCGGAGATATACACTTAGGGATATTTGCATATCTCCCTGGCCATATGTTGCACACATATCTCCTAGGCCATACACTTTGGTGTTCAGTGCAGATTAACTTCAATTGTTCTAATTACATAGTTGGTTCCACACCATATTTACATATTGTCTCTTCAGAGATATGCACTTAGGGATATTTACATATATGTGTCGGGTAAACCTAGCGTTACTTCTCAAGCGAACTATACCACTACGGAATGACAGCCTCTTGTTAACCGATGATCACTTCTTACGCAACGTTTTTTAAATACGCGTCCGTTTTTTGGATACTGGCCAGGTTTGACAAGGCCGGATGTTTCATAACTTCGCTGCTGTCAAACTCTTTTTATTGATTTTTTTGTGTTTTGAAATTTTTCAAAATAAATTTCCTTAAAAGACATTTTTAGCATGTCGAGTTTTGTAACAGATTGGGAACTTGGAGAAAAACTTGACAAACTCCTGTTTAGTTACTAGAAGTTTATGGCTGGCCTTTCTCAACTTGTTGGTTATAAGGAAGGAAGAGCCTCTTGCTTGCGCGTGCTTGTTATAGAGCGGCGGGGTGTTTACAACTTTCCATTTTAGGCCTTCTCACTCTCTCTGCACCACGGTTAGATTGACTACCAATTACGTCACCAAATCCATCTCGATAAATT